CGGCTGAAAGGCGCCGCCAGTGTACAGCCAGTCGGGGGCCCCGGTGTGGGGGTTGCTGCCTGGGTGGAACCACCTGCGGGACACAAGGAGCCATCGGGCGACCGGCTCCCTCAGGCATGCTCGCCCCCCCCCCGCCCCGCCGGTCCAAACCCGCAGGCCGGGACCCTCCGGGAGGGTGCCTATGACACACACTGTCCTTTAGAGGAACCAGACCACGTCGGGTCTTGCTTTTGATTTTTGGAGTTGGAGACAAGGAAGAGGTGATGGGCAACAAGAAGGTGCCTGTGGCTCCCCCCCCCCGCCCCGCCGGTCCAAACCCGCAGGCCGGGACCCTCCGGGAGGGTGCCTATGACACACACTGTCCTTTAGAGGAACCAGACCACGTCGGGTCTTGCTTTTGATTTTTGGAGTTGGAGACAAGGAAGAGGTGATGGGCAACAAGAAGGTGCCTGTGGCTCTGGCCCCAGTAACAGGCCGACGTCGGCACTGGCCAGTGCCACGGCCCCAGCCTGCCCCCCCGGGCGGCCATGCCCCCCGCCGCTCTGAGCCATGCTCCAGGACAGAGGCACAGAAAGGGCACTGGCCGCTCACAGGAGCGTCTGGGAGCTCAGGGCAGGGGCCAGCTCTCAAGCACAGGGTGCTGTCCTGGCGGTGGTCCACAACACCCGTGGCTTTAACTGCCAGAGGGCACGTGAGCTCAGACAGAAACAGGTACGCAGAGGGGGAGGGAGGGAGGGAGAGAGCGCCTCCTAGTGGGCATCACGCCACAATCCCTTCTCCACCCTCTATCCTGTTGGGGTTTGGGACCATGCACGCACCTGGCGTGTGAACCACAGTCAACCAAGTAGGACCCGGTTCTCTAATCTAGGCCGTGGGGTGGGCTCCACGTGTATGTTTTTAAACTACACTTAACTACGTGGCCCTTCCCTGCTGGCCTCTCCTGGGCTGCTTCTGACTGTGATGACTGAGGCCCCCGCCCGCCGGGTTGTTCGCCGAGGGGCACCCGGGACCGCGGTGCTGGCAGGGACCGGACAACGCCCCTCCCCTCCCAGGCCTGCCCAGACTCACAGGCTTAGAGAGCCACCTGTGGGCGCTAAGCCCCTTGGAGTTCATGGCAAAACCCACCCTGGTGGCCAGACGGGAGGGCCTGGGCCTCACGGACACCTGTGCCAGGCCACGTGGCCCACGCCCTGCAGCAGGGCACAGCTGGGTCTGGCAGCTACTCCTCTTTCAATTGGCCACACGTCCGGTAAGTGCCCTGCACCAAGTCAGAGGAGCCTGGCTCTGAGGTAGCCAGTCCTGCTGGGAACCCCGCAGGGCATGGGCCACCCTGGCTTGCACAGTGGGCACGGGTCTTGGCGACTGCTGGCCTGGCCTGTCACAGAGCCTCTGCTCAGCTATGCGGGTGGTCAGTGTGGGGGTACGGCCCCCCAGCCCCGGCCTTGTGGCTGAGAGACTCACCTGGTCTGCCACTCGGTCTCCTCCTTGGCACGCCCCCTCCGGGCCTCCCTCTGCTTCTCTTCCAGCCGCTCCTTCTCCTGGCTGGCCAGATCTGGGGGCCGAGCACAGACTGGTCAGGATCGGGCCCACGGGGAAGCTGCGCCCCGTGTCAGACAGCACCATCAGAACCCCTCAGAACCCCGCCTGCCCTGCAGGTGGCTAGGAAGCCAAGCACTGTGAATGTGGGATCAGAGGCCAAGCGGTTGTGGGTGCTGCCTGCCCTGCACGACCAGCCACAGGGAGCCCGCACCTGCGCCACCTGACTCCAGGCCCACCTGCCACAGGTGTCAGCGCGGCCACCCCCAGTGATGCCAGCGCACATGACATTGCCCGAAGCCAGCCTCCCACACTCATTGCTTTGGCCAGACAAGGCCCAGGCCCATCGTAGTGAGGGACTGCTGCGCCTGCTCAGGGGCCATAGGCAGGACACCGGTCTGTCTGTCTGTCTCTGTCTGTCTCTGTCTCTTGTCAACAAGCAAAAGCTGAGTCCCGCCTTGCCCCAACCTCCCAGGACGAGCAAGCATAGGGTCACAACGAGACACGAGTCCGGGCTGTTCACGGTGCCGCCATGTCCCCGGGGGCAGGAGCACGCTGCCTGCACCAGCCATGCCTGGGCTGGGCTCTCGAACACAGCCCGTGCGTGGAGCCTGGGGCCTGGGGCCGGTCCCACACCAGCCTGGCAGGTGCTCCTGCTGTCCATGCATCACGGACAGCAGCTGAGCAAGAGCAACCGCG